GGGGGGGGGGGGGGGAGGATATTCGGTGACATACACTTGTGATAACAATTCAAAAGAGCACGCTATAACTGCATTCAAAGTATAAGATATGTTTTTAGTTCAGCAATCCCATGCAGCTAATTTAGTTACAATTATTACAAATGAAATATGTTATTCGTCAATGTTATAGTCAACAGAAACAATAAGAGGTCAAGGTCAACAAATTATCTTTCCTCAACAATACATTTACCAATATTGCGTGCTCTTAGTTGTATTTGGAAAGAATCAACTATTTGACCATATCAAATGAATGGTATATATTGCGAAAGATCTGAAAAATTAATCTTATTTTCGATAATATATGAATAAATAACAGAGAGACCTCGACAATGAAGTCAATCTTAATTGTTATCAAAGTATAAAGTAAAGTTTACCACGACACTTATGCGTCATAGTTTATTCAAGCTGTGCATGAAAAACGCTTTGGTGTCATTGAAGCAGTTTTTCTTCTTTATTTTGGTGCTTGGCATTTGAGTAAACATACTTGCTCACGTCAGAATTTAAAAACGTAATTCCCAGAACGATATCGGCACGGAACTAAGTTGTTTAATTTTCTGTTTATTACCTGAAGAAAATGTTTATAAACACTTTATAATTCCTCAATATTCCTTGTGAGAGACCACCACAAACATTTTTCAAGAAGTTTTATGACATTTCAAAAGGATAAAATAAACATTTCATGAAATATTCATTTATTGCTCTGAAAAGAGATGGATGCACGAATCAGTCATTCCAGATTTCTTGGAATTTCCTATAACTGTGATCTTATAGCAGATATATCTTAAAACATTGTGCGGTGGGATTAAAGTATACAATGCCAAACAATTAATTACTGATTTTTCGAAAAATGCCATTTTAAAATACGTTTTGTACTTATTTATTTTGCTTTATGAGAAATTGTATTTCTTTCTCGTAAAAAGGAGGTATTGCCAATTTTCCATAGCCCAAGGTATCAAAATCAGAAAGTTGTTTAAACCTTGAATCCAAATATGAATGACACTAAACGGTATATTTTAAATATTTTATAACTATTTTTACATTTATTCATAAATCAGAACTGCAGTTGAAGACATTTTTTTCTGCAGCCTCTCAAGCTTTTTTTTTTTAATGTTTTTGTAAAATTTTTTCATCGAAGATTACATGTATCCTTCACCAACATGAATTAATTTGTATATGAACGACAAAATCATAGCACTTATGAACCAACCATCTTTTGGAGTATGATTTAGTTCCTTGTTTAAACTGGAGTGTACACATATAAAACGGTGATACTGTAAATTTCAGAAAGATTGAAAGAATTTTCTAAAAAATGTCCCTGTAGTTAAATATATTCAGTGGAAATTCTCTCTCTCACTGGGAAACAAAAACAAAAAATAGTATAAAATTAAATAAGAAGACGTGTTAATTGCCAATGAGACAACTCTCCACCAGAGACCAAATGACATAGAAGTTAACAACTATACCGTACGGTCTTCAACAATGAGCAAAACCCATACCGCATAGTTAGCTGTAAATGGCCCTGAAATGACAAAGGTACACCAGATCTGTTCCGCACTTATAATATGGTTAGGGTTCAACAACCGGGACACTCAATTACAACATTTGTTTTAAAGTACTTAAAATTTCGAGTGAAAGAAATGCTGTTATAGTATAAAAATCACATTTGGTATGATTACCAGTGAGACAATTGTGCACCAAAGACAGCGGCTGCCCCCAATACAGACCGGATGTTTACATCGATTTCTACGTACTTTATATAAAGATAATAATTAACTTTGTACCATTGCTACTACAACTCTTCAACCCAGATTAGTGTGTGTTACTTACACGAATTCTTTATTAAAACTGGATACCAATTAAAGACTTCTAAACAAAATGCATTTCCTTTCACGCCATTTAATTTTACTTCAAAATCTTATTTCACACGTACCCACAATTAAATCGTCTGTGAAATTGAGTTCGAAAAATCATTTTTCTTTAATCCTTCAAGAAATTGCTTTTTCCTGGTCATATTATAAAGTATTGCAAACGATAAATATCGTATTCATCAATTGATTAAATAATTCATGAATAATATAAGCCCAGTGCCAGAATGAACGTGTGAAAAACTTTTCGTCAGATTGCTATAAACAAAGGCATGACGAGCTTTCAATAATTCAATCATTTGTTGAATATGGTAATTGACCAAGGATTATTGGAGTCATTGAAGGCAAACATTCCGTTACAGAGAATACTAGCTGTCACTGTGTATATCAGAGCATTTTCTTAAGTCTATTATATAAATACATGATATTGGATATTGATGGAGATATGTTTTGTAATTAGGTAAGATGCTATTGTATTACGTTTAAAACGGATTTTAATATTTCTGTTAAGATGTGGACTGATTTGAAAAAAAATAATACGCTCATTAGACCCTTTTGGAATGATAACAACAGCATGTTCTGATAATAAAAGCATTGTCATTCTGGAAAGTGATAACAAACATATATATAATCATCACTTATTTGTTCACTTTTGTTATTTTGTAATTTTTGGAAACAATTTTTGGAAACAACTGAATTGAATTTTAACAACTAATTTTTGCAAATAAAGACGTCACCTTTTTCGTCAAATATATATTTGGTCGCTTCATTTTCCTTCGCCTTATTTTCTTACTTGTATTATTTCTGGACTTTAACATAGAGATTCCCCCGTTACCATAGCTTGTTTGACATCTTGCCTTTTATTTATCCTCTTAAAGATCGTTCAATGCCAAAAGATTTTATCTGCAAATTGTATGCATAACTTTCGTTTGCATAGTTTAGAAATAATCTTATTTCTAAAATAACTACTTTCATGCAAATGTAAATGTTTAGCTGCTGATGGTACCGGGTAATAACCTTTTCTACAAACATTTGGTAAATATTCTACTGAACATATATTTATGAAATCATTAACTTTTTAATCAGCTATCTATCTTTAAATGTATTTTTGTACTTATGTACTTTACAAGTAAAGACAGTAAATATTTACTATACTTCAAGTTCTTGTTGATATAAAATTTAAATCATTATTTATTTAGTGACATTTCTGTTTACAATGAAGAACAATCATAGCAGAGTCAATAACTTTTAAGTTTATATTTTTTTAATCCACATCATAATTTACATGTTTACGACCTATCGTCGAATTTTATTTTTCTGCACTTGTGATTTGTTCGTTTTGTAGACTTGTCCCTTTATTTGTGTGTTTTAGAGATAAAAAAAATATAATTTTTAAAAGAAAAACATAGTTCATATCATACAAATACAACTGAAACTCATTTATCTTCTGAATCAGAAGGATCTAAAGTTGCTCAGTCCATATCTAAAGAATTGTGTTCAAAATAGGGAATTTTTCAGATTTTTTTCCCCGATAATTAAAAAAAATATGCACATATAAGTACTTCTCTCTATTGTTAGTGTGTACAATTATAATTTTTAACTCTTGTTTATATAAATGATTATCTATTTGTCTAACAGAATCCTACACACATTTCATGTTTGTTTTCGAGACCATGGAACAAAATCTATGAATTAATTATATAGAATCCCATACAGGATATTAAAACAACAGGAAAAGACAAAATAATAGAAGGATAAAACATATTTAGAAATATAAATTAAAGACAATACACAAACATTGTGACAGTGGTAATTAATTTAAATTATGCAAAGACCCTATATATAGCTTGTTAAGTATTCCTAAAAATACAAATTCAAAGATCAAAAAGAGATTTCTAGTTACTTAGAAAGCAATACACATAAATATAATGGTAAGTTGTGGTATGAAACGTGAAGCTATTCTTCTCTGATTTTTACACAGTGGTATTGTATATATCATAGATATGAAATAATGTCGCTGTAGTTGTGTTGCGTTATAACCAATCCTTAATTACTGACCAGAGTAATCTGGATTATGTTAAAAAAACAAAACAATAAAAAAATCAAATCTCAAAGAGAGAAATTCTGCTATGAAGCATGTGTTTCACCATTTGTATAGAATATCTGATGGGGACAGAAATAGTTTTACTCTGTATTAGTCAAGTAGTCGTATTGATTATTGATTTTGTAATGTTGATGAAGTTGACACAAGTACCTGATGATATGTGAGCACGTTTTATTGTATTGTTTATATCCTTCCGACCTTTACATTACGGATTGATTTTTGTCTGGTCATTGCCATGAGGCGAACTAAGGAGTAAGTTGTCTTTCTCGAACTTGAAAAATTGAAATTTTGTTCAACATATATTCTCTTTAATAAGAATTTGAAATTCGTCTTTGAAAATGTTTCAAAAGTCCTAGTCAATCTTGACATTATATTCTCTGAACCCCTTCAAGCAAAACAAATAACTTGGGATGAAGAAAAATACCAAGCAAGGAAACATGTGAAGTATATTTTTTGTCAAGGAGAAGGCAGATAAATTACATTTAGATACAAAATCAAGATGTGCAAACTTGTGTTTACAATTTACTTTCAAAATCGCTGATTTGTTTTCTTTATTTATAAAACGCGGTAGTTTTAATTGTTCAAGGAAATGTTACGATAAAGTTGTTTCATCAACAGACCGCCGAGTCTATCTTGAAAAGTACATATTTGTAATCACGAAAAAAATACTTGACTTTTAGGTGTTAAAATTTAATTGGTTCCAGTCAAGTTCCGATCAGAGAATTGACCATCCGATTGTTTATCTTACGTATACGTCAATGCCCGATGCGGTTGCCTAGGCGTAAAGGATAAAGAAATAAAAAAGAGACTCTCATAATTAATGGAAGAGAATTATAGAGATAAATAAGAAGAGTCCAAAGGGAGCAATAAGTTAGACATACTCTATCAAATATGTATCCTTCGAAATACCAAAACAAACACGTCATGATGTGAACATTGAACCCTTGACATTTAAATTAAGTGACAAAAATTTTGATATTTAAAAAATATTTATTTGTACAATATGTGGATGTGTACAATATATGCCTCCATCGCATGGAAGTGTTTACATTGATTTAAGCCTTAAATTAGGTGTGTCAGGATCTGTTACGACTTAATTAACAAGATCAGAAATTGACAATAGGAAAATGACATTCCCCATTGATTTGGAGGAACTGATTATTCTATGATGGAATAAAATCTATACAAGGTGAGTGAGGATTTTGAATTATTAATTTTGCATCTTAATTATCAAAGAATAAATATGTATATTGTATTAACGTCGAAAAATCGTTTTTAAGTACTGAATCAGGTTGCAGCTTTAAATTCGAGGGGTTAATAATTTGATTATCAGGATGATTATAAACACATTGTGAGTGACAGTTCGTGTTGATTCTGGGAACTTCGTTGTGTTACAGAGAGTAGTTACTTGTTTTAGATGCCATCAATTTGGATATATATTCCATCCCAGCTTTGAACAGAAAAAATACCCTATACGGAGTAAAAAAAATATTTAAAAACAAACTTTTGTATTATAGTATAGTACATATGTTCATACAAGCTCTCGACATTTATGAGAAGTATTCCCAAGTGAAGAAAAGGCTGAAACTCGGTTCGATTCTCACATAGCTAATGTAGGTAGTGGCATTTTTAGAATTTTAAAATTGCAGCTACATTTATAGCAGGGTTGTAGAGGTTTACAAATTTTATTTGTTAGATAATTCTGATAAGGGCAGTGAATAAAGGAGTTGGCGTTTACGTAATAACCAAGAAACCCTTGTTGAATGACCTCTCGATGGAACGACAAAACAAGCTCATTTTATTTTATTCAAATTTTGTATGAAATTAGATCTTTCAATAAGAGTTGTCTATCCATGTTGATGAATTCTTATAATGAGAAAAAGAATAAAAAAAAAGGAAACCATTTTGCATTCCAATCTATCTTTAAGTGTTTGGTATAGGAATTATTGAAGTATAAATCGATAGGGTGAATTATAGAAGAAGAAAAAAAAAATGAACGAAAAAGGACAGAGCAATAAACTACGTCGTTTAGCCAACGTCGTTAACAACACCCCCCCCCCCCCCCCTCCCCTCCCCCCATACTGTCAATAACCACAGGGATTTGTCACTAAAAAAAATACCTTTATAGTGTTATATTATGGTATATAGGTACTTTTTTCATAAATAAGTGCCTGGGTCAATAAATTATAACAACGCAATATAATGACACCCCAGAAGTATACACTTTATATGAACATGTTGGTTAAAGGTTTCTACCGTAAATGAAAAATCACAATGGAAACATTGCCGTCATGACATTTCACATGATCGTTTGATCTCCGCTTCCTATAATAGTCAATTTCTAGATGAAACCCGATCGAGGTACAAATGGACCAGGCAAACTGCTCTATCTGTAGAAATCTGCATAACCTGTCAAGTGAAGAGGGCAATTTTTCGGAAAATGTAACCCATGATGTCGATATCAATTATATATTATATTTCATAACAAGTTATAATAAATGAAGACCAAATACCGATGAACAAAACAAAACATCAAAAGCAAAATAAAGATTTAATAAAATATCTGCATCCGTATACAATATTATCTTCAACTATACATTTAAGTATTTCTTTGAAAGCTTAAAACAAACTTTACATTGTCACTTGTAGATTTTAAAGATCAACGAAATTTATAGCCGTAAAGATAAATTTGGTTCATCTCTCATTTCATAACCATGTTTATGACATGTTTTCAAAACATGATCAATTAAACGACAGCAATAAATCTTAATTCTTAATGTTAATTTTCTTTAAAATTGTAATAAACTCTGTAAAATCTTTATTCTTTAAACATAAGTTTCGAAATTTATATGACATGTATATATATGCGTACATTGTCTAACTGTCTATAATTTACAGTATTTCAAAATAACGGTTCACGCTCTATGCGTTATGCATCTACACAGTTGAAATTGAAATAAAAGTAAAATAACAAAAATACCGAACTCCAAGGGAAATTCAAAACGGAAATTCCTTTATAATATGATAAAATCAAAAGCTCAACCACATCAAACGCATGGAAAACAACTGTCATATTCCTGACATGGTACAGGTATTTCCTTATGTAGAAAATGGTGGATTAAACCTGGTTTTATAGCTAGCTAAACCTCTCACTTGTATGGTAAACGGACAGAAAGTCACAGGACAAAAAGTCACAGGACATAAAGTCACAAATTGGATAGGACAAAAAGTCACAGGACAAAAAGTCACAAATAATTTGTTGACAATTGTTTGAATATATAAGAGAAAGATCTTCAAATAAAGTCTTTTTTTACATTTATTCATTTTTAAGTTTAGGAAATTGTTCATAAGCCTTGATAAATGAAAAATTATTAAATTTTAATCATGCAAATGATATATTTCTTGGCACCATGAAGCCATTTAAGTGCCAAACCACTTTGACATTTTGTTATCATAACAATTATTTGAATATCATTGATATTTATTGAATAAATTTTAATTACAAAGTTGCTTCATATATTATAGTTCAGGAAAAAATCAAAAAATTATTTTAAAAATTAGTGTTTTCTTGTTCAGAGAAAAATAATCTCAAAATTGAATTGTGACTTTTTGTCCTGTGACTTTTCGTCCGTGACTTTTTGTCCGTGACTTTTTGTCCTGTGACTTTCTGTCCTACATTCACTTGTATGACAGTCGCATATAATTCCATTATATTCACAACAATGTGTTGGCAAAACAAACAGACATAATAGGTAAAAATGTCAAAAATTGGGGTACAGCAGTCAACATTGTAATATAATCTTAATCACTATAAAAACAAACAACTATTTCGACAAAGAAAAAGAAGATGACATCTAGACACTCAAGACACTTGTACCAAAAGTAATGTTATAACATTTCATCTCCTTTTTTATCTGTGATTTTCCATTTAAAATATTAAAATAATTTTTTTGTGTTCGTGTCGATCTGGTGAGTCAAGCCATTTCCAACTGATTTTTACAGTTTGTTCTACACCATTGTCTCATGCTAGAAGACGGGTTGAGCGCTCACAAACATTTTTAACCCCGCTACATTCTGTATATGGCTGTCCAAAGTCAGAAGCCTCTAATTCAGTGGTTGTCGTTTGTTACTTTATATCATATTTCGGGTTTTTTGTACATAAATCAGAGCCTTTTATAGCTACCTATACGATATGCATTTTGATAATTGTTGAAGGCCGTACGATGAACTGTAGTCTTTGCAATCATACCACATTTACTTGTTTTTATATATTATCTTTTTAGAGACTCATTTGACCACAAGAAGAGTTATTTGGCAATTGCAGGGTTTTTTCTCGAATAATCAAAAATATATATATACAAACCTTACATTTATGTTTTTCATATAAAAAAGTGTTTCTGAAAAATGCACACAGTAAAAATGTCTGAATGTAGGTACAAACGGTTCTAAGATTAGAGAGAAAACGGTTCTAAAATTTGAGAGAGAAAATATTTCTTGAAATATTAGATAAACTTCGTTCACTCGACTATAAAAATCGATATTGAAAGCCTCTTTTTCAAGGTCCAAGTCGAGTTTCAGATCGAAAATCAAGTTAACATGGAAAGAAAACTTATTTGAGGACAAATGGCATTGTAACTGCGATATACATGTATAAGATGAAATACGATGTAAACATAATCGAGATAGCAATCGAACAATAAAAACGATTTTTGTTTGATTTTCAACAAATTGAAAATTCAATGCTTCAAACCGATACTTTTTAACAATTCTAAGTATGACCGACGATGAATAATAATTTAAGTAATTCAACGGCAAAAATCAAAACGAGACCTTACTAAATCGTTTACAATCATAGCTGTTCAATTATAGGTCATTATAAGGTTGTCGATTTATTCCCTGCTATTTACTACTTTTATAAAGTTCAATGACTGTAGTAAATGATGAACAAGTAATGGAGATATAATGTATTTATGATATGGTACATATTTTGTGAATAATTATTTAATGCAATACTTTGATATGTATCAATTCAGAAGTGATAACTTTGTTGGTTTATTTCACTCGAAAATTGTATGAAATTACCATCGAATTCAAATTATATCAAAACGTTTATTCTAATTTATTGTAAAATATGCTCTTTTTTTCTACCAGTGAAAAATAGTATATGGAATTAAATAAGGGAATCGGGTATTATTGCTAATGAGACAACTATCCATAAAGACCAAAAGACAAAGATGTGAACATTTACAGGTCACCATACGGACTTACTTCAATATTGTATTACTTATTGATTGCTGAAACTGTAACCTTCAGCGAAAACTCGATATTTCAGTCATAATTAGAACAGAATAAGAATAAGAATGAATAAGAACTTTATTAGTTTAAAATCCAAACAATAGGATTGTTACTAAAGTAAAACATATAAATAACAAAACATGAAGCATCGAAAGAAAGTGTTAATATTTATTACAATACTATTTTTGACAACATGCCTCCTCCATAAAGTTATCATTTCAAATATCTTGATTATATATATTATAATATTAGTCATGAATCATACACACTTTATGTATTGACATTATAGGTGTTTCTCTCATTATACTTTTCACTTATACTGTTAACAATGATAATCAATATATCGCATTCTTATCAAGAAACTATAAAATCAAATTTGTTTTCATTACTCGTTGAATTAAAACGAGGAACAATATTAGAAATTTCATTAAACTTTTTGATCCTATGTTTATTAAGTTCTGTACATGTAATGATAAAATGGAATTCGTCTTCCACCTCTTGATGGCATAAGTGTCATATTCTATTTTCTAAGGCTGTTTTGTTGTATCGACCATGTTCAATAGCTAGCATACTATTACTTATTCTTATTTTTGCATAATTATTTAGTACTAGAACAAACTAAGCAGAATATGATTTGGTCCGTTCTGTACACTTTTGATTGATGGTATTTGATTGTCTCATAAACTTGTAGATTGTCAGATGATCGTCACCAATGTAACGAGTATTCTGAATGTTTGACAAAAGGATCAGTATATTAAAATCAAATTTGTTTTAGTTTCGAGAAGGTTTTACAAATATAAACCACTTAAAGGCGACGCCAATAAGAACCACAATTAATAAGTATTTACCACAAAGTGGTTGAGTGTGAAATCAGTGCCTGTTACAAACAATAAT